TACTAGACTCTCTCTCTCTCTCTTCTACACACACACACACACACACACACACACACACACACACACACACATTCAGACCCACTGTACATCCTCTAACAAATCAGGCCAGACATAGTTAAAGAGCTGTATATTTTACAATGTTAAAGTAACTACATATACCTTAAAAAAAGATGGATTCTCCCACCTGGCTCATGTGAACTACTAGCATCCACCATCAGTCTTTCATGCCATGAACTACTTAGTTGGTTAGTGCATCTTGGGTTCTCACTAGAACCTTGTTCTTTGCAGTTGGCTATGGATAAGTCTCTTTCTTCATGAACCGATTCACTGTTGCACATACCAGACACTAGCTCTTCCACAGATGAAATGAGAGAAGCTTCTCCACTAACGGAATCGGTCTTATCTAAATTTGAAAGAATTATTTATTTATTAGAGGTAAGAGGTTATGTTTCATAAAAAGACATGCTGTGTTGAAATGTACATTTTGTACTACAGAAATACAGTACTGAAGTTGTAAAGTGTTCGATTTCAATTAAAATGTTTAGCACTTGCTAAAATGCATTTAATTTCTAGGTTTAATATAAGCGATACTGTGAACTTGAACTCTAGTCAATTAAAAAAATTAAAACTAATTTACTGAGTCCCTCTGCCCATTTGTGTAGTTTTAGAACCAGGTTTTCCTAGTTTTGAAAGACCTAAGCTAGCAACAGTTGACTGATGCAAGCAATCCAGTGTCTACACTGACACTGCGTCGACCTAACTACATCGACATGGACTCAATAACTTCATCTCCAGGAGTGGCACAAAGCAGGTGAGTTACATCAGTGAGGATGAAATTCTAGCACTGACACATACAGAGTTAGGTCGACATTTGGTCAATGCAAGACAGCTCTCTCTGTAGTGTAGACTATGGCTAAGTCATTCTTAACTTGTTCTCTTCCTGTTTTAGCCTCAGATCTGACCCCATTTACACTGATGTTCACTATGTTAATCATACAATGCTGCTAACTTTCTCGATGAAAACCAAAACAAAAAATATAATACGTTGCTGCGTTTCCTGGTCTTTCCGTCCTCATTGAGGAATGGGCCTACCCTGTCCTTGGTGGTCTTCTTGCTTTTAATTTTGTTCCTACATGCTTGTGTTATTTTAACTTCAGCCTCCATAATGTGACCTAGTTTCCACTTTTTGTATGACTCTTTTGCATTTGAGGTCATTGATGATCTACTGGTTAAATCACAGTAGTTTCCCTATCTTTCCTATTCACTGGGATAGTTCGCTCTTGAGCCTCTAATAATGTTTCTTTAAAATACTGCCAACTTCCCTTAGACATGCTTCCCATGGGATCTTATCTACCAATTCTCTGAGTTTGCTGAAGTCTGCCTTCTTAAAATCCATTTTCTTTATTCTGATGTTTTCCCTCCTATCATTCCTTGATCATGAAATGAGGAGTTAATGATTCCATTTTCACCCAAGCTGCCTGTCACCTTCAAATTCTGAACTAGTTCCTCCCTGTTTGTCAGAATCAAATCAAGACTAGCCTCTTCCCTAGTTGCTTTCTTCGCCTTCTGTAAAGTTGTCTCTAGTGCATTCCAAGAATTTGTTGGATAATCTGTGCCCTGACTTATTATTTTCCCAATAGATGTATGAGTAGTTGAAGTCCCCAGTCACTACCAAGTCTTGTGATTTGGACGATTTTGTTAATTGTTTAAAAAAAGCCTCATCCACCTGTTCTTTCACTATTAGTCCTCTAGGGTGCTACTTATAACTATAGAAGGTATTCACCCTACAGTCTGAAAATGTAAGTTGACATGTTCCCCTTAATTGTTACTATATTACAGTATTTCTTAAATGAACCTTACAACAAGCTTATTAGAAGTTCTGTGGCAATTTGACACCATCCCTTAATTTTGTTGCTGTTGCATATTCTATGTATGTTCTAGCAACCCACCACTGCTGTACAGCGCCTAACAATTTCTATGCAGCAAAACTACCTCAAAGACAATTCATAAGGGAACACTTACACTGAAGCTGCATGTTTCAGATGAAATCTCAAAAAATGAACAGTTGAAAGATTTTAGATATTCCATATTTTATTTTTAAAGTCACTAACCTTCATTCTGAAAGGAATCCCTTAATATAAAAATGATCATCCAACCATACTGCACTGGGAGGGGCATGCAAATAACCAACAGGATAACCAAGCCCCTGAAATTAAATTCCATGCCATTTCCCTTGTAAGCCTGTATTTAGATTGTAATTTCTCCAAGAAAGGCACCGGTTAACTGTAAATAATACAGTATGCTTTTTGTTGCTATATAAATACAAAATAAATACCTGAACCTCAATAAAGTTACAGCTGAGACCACTGCTTCACCCTTAACCACCTCAAAGTCAAAGAAAAAATTTCTTACTTCAGGAATTATATTTCAAGCAAACCAGAACATCTAGTAAGTTTTTTTGTTTGTTTTTTGTTTTTTTTACCTGCAAAAGAAACTTTGCCACTCCTTGGCGTGTCTAGCTCTGGTATTACACTTAATTCATGTTGTTCCAAATCTAGCCCTAACTTGATTTTAGCCAGAGGTGGTTTTGAAGTTCGCCATCTCTGTTCTCTTCCCAGAATTCTTTGAGACTGCTCTGTAATATAAAAATAATGTTCTGCAATTTACATATTCGTAACATACTATAAGCAGTTGAAGATCCAATTTGAGGGAAGGGAAAAAATAAACCAGTTATAATTGAAAAAGTGAACAGCAGCATTATAATATGATATATGACCTCACCGATTTGCTCAGCTTGACTGATGCTTTGTGAAAGCAATCTATTTTCATCATATTTGTTCACATCACAACAATTAACTTCTTGAGATTTATTTTCTGCATCTTTGAAAAGGTAAGTCATCAGATTGAAGTGGTCAGACTTCGGTGTTTCTGTCATCTCTCTGTATGTGACAGATTCTTCTGCCTTAAAAGAGGAAGTAATAGTGGCTAAGATAATTTTCACACCCATTTTACTAAACCTCTATTTTTTCATGTGTGCCAAATACACTATACATCAGCACTTTCCAGAAGATGAAAAGAGAAAGGTTCTAAGAGCTCAACTCCGCAAAATATCTAAGCATGTGAGTACTAGTTAAAAGTTAATTACTTTTGTGTTTAAGCGTTTTGCTGAATTGGGCCAAAATACTTTGTTTCTTGCAGGATCAAGTCCTGAAATAATATTTCTACTTACTTCTCAGTTACCAATGACAGGGATTTTACTTCTCTGAAAACTGCACAAATGAAAGGCAGAGAACCAAAGCAGCGTGAAGTCATTCTTTATGATGCCTACTGTTCTAGACCACTTTAAATAAAATAAGGCAAAAAAGAGTTTCTGTATAGCCAGCATCTATAAAGAGACTTGCTTAACTTGAAGATATTGTGGACTATATTGGATAGAGCTGAGCAAATAACTGAGTTTTTGTAGGGAAAAAAAGTTCATTTTGAACCAAAACTGAATTATTTTGGTTTCTTGCTTAAATAAAATGGGTTGTTTCAAAATGAAATGTTAAAACAGCTCAATAAAAAAAAAATCACTCTTTATTCCGATCAACTATTAGCTGAATTCAATCCTACCTTGAATAGTTTTAGTTACCCTGAACCTGTGGTTTTCAGCAAATTTACTATCTACTGAAAAATTTTCATCCAATTCTAATCTTAGAATGGTAATTAAAGAGATCCCTTAGGTGACTTTATGGACAAGTTTTATACTGGAAAAAATAGGCAGCCTGGGAATTTTTAGTATATGAACTTGATTCTGTAAATTCAAATAAATTTCAATCATCAATGATAGCTTAGTTCATAGACAATTTGATCTTTGCTACCACCCTCTTTCCCCCTTCCCCTCAACCTCCCCCCAAAAAGGAAAATTCCACAAAGAAAAAACTTTAGAAAAGGCCCCATAGTTAGAGGGTTGGGGAAGAGAGTTTTTCTTAGATTACAAGTGACAATTATGAGTGCCCCAACCTAATCCTTAATGGATATTTGTCAGTATCTCAAATATCACACTATAGCTTTTTGCCTGCCCAGGAGAAGCCGCAAATTCAAACAAGGTTAGAATTGAGATGCAGAACAGGAACGTTGCCTTTTGAAACAGATCAGCCTTTACAAATGTGAATTTCATTTTTTAAATTCCTTTGTAAAATGAACAGGGGTTATTTTATATAGCTAAGTGATTAAAAAACAATTCAAAGTCTGAGAGTGTTACTGCTATTCAGAAACAATTTAACAAAACAGAAGGCAGCCAATATAAGCAATTTTAAAACCAATTTTCCTGTTTGCAGGTATAAAAAGCACAGCTCAGTTTTTTAAAACAGTTTACCTGACAGAAGCGTTCATTATACCCTTAATGTTAGAGCTATCATTCAAAGGTTGTAAAGCTGAATAATGATGCCTGCAAATATTTCAAAAACTGTAACTACTTCAATGAGCACTACGTTCAGAGTTCAATTTAAGACAAGCTTAGCACAGTTCCTGTAAGGTTGGACAGAGACTCTCGTGGCTCATGTAACAGAACCACTGATTACAGATCACAAAGGTCACAGATCACTAGTTTGAGTCTTGGTTTCAGTAAAGGACAAATGCCCATACTCAAAGTCTGTACACTACATGGGGAACTCTGCTAATTGGCAAAGTCCACTCTGTAGCCTGGACACCTACTAGCAGACAGCTCATTACACTAAATTTACAAAACATACCTGCTTATTAAGAAAATCCTTCAAAGCCTCTTGTTGTCTCTGCATCTGTTCCTTCAATTTAGCCTGCTTACGTAAAAGCAGTTCTTCCTGCATTCTCTGCCTAGAAAGAAGAGCTTCTCTTTGTACATCCAGTTGCTCTTGCAGTTCTTTCAAATGGTCTTGCTGAGCTTGGATGCTCTCTGAAGAAGCTAGCACTCTCTCTCTTAACTTTAGTATACTGGAATAATTTAACAAAGATGCACCTCCATTTTTGGATGCCAAGGACTCCTGGCTTGCCCCAGTCTCAGATTCATCAGGAGATAATGAAGTAAGATGTTGAAAAGGCTGGGGGATAGTTTGTTCAAAGGTTGTTTTTATGCTGCTCTCTGTAGGTACCTGCTGGTATTCTGAAGAACCAAATGATGCAGCCTGAGCTATGAGAGACCCCTCTGCTGCTGGCGTACCAAGAACTATAAGCCGAGGCTGTTTTTGTGCTTCTGTCTCTATTAGTAGGTTTGGCATCTTCTGAGACATTACTGAAGTTTTATCAAGATCCAGGGTTCTTGAAGACTCAGATGACTCTTCTGTGGGCAAAGCTGAACTGTCCTGTTGTATATGAGCCTCTGTTTGCATCATAACTGAAGCATCTTGTGAAGTCATCATGACTGACCCAGGCAGCTTCTGGGATTCTGACAAGTCTCTCACCTGATTATCAGAAGGACCCAATATTTCCATCTGTTCTTGTGAAGGGTAATTCTGTTGTGGCAAATGAAACTGCTTTTGCTCCAACTGTGAGGCCTCTATAGATTGTATCTGTCTACTAGAGCCCATGTTATGCCTTTGCTCGTCATCTCTCTGTTCAAATGGCTTTTCCAACACAAAACGTGTTCTTGAATGTGTGGTTAATGGCGGAGCATATTCTTGTACATGAACATGTACAGATGACTGGCTAGCTGATGGATAATCTCTATGAATCACTGTGGGTCCACGCATTTGTAAAACTGATTCACAGGGAGTAGGTTTTAAGTTAATAAATCTGGACTGCAATGTAACTGCAGAGCCTAATGGCATAGAAATAGATGGATATCTTTGCTTCAACTTATTCTGATATTCCTGCAACTGTTTTCTGGCTTCTTCAACTGACTGTTTGTGCAATCTAAACAGAACAAAAACATTTCTTTTCTGTGTAGCATGAAGACAGTTTTCATTATTGGAACAGATTTCAATTACAAAATAATTCTCAAACACTCCACCCAAGATATTAATTTTACATGGGGAAAATACCTGTTTTGCAGTAGAAGACATTGTTGATAGTTACGAATCATCTGTATATGATTTTCTTCATTAGAACTGCTCGTTCCCGGCACTGCAGCAGTTTCAGTCTAACAGGAAACGAATTGTTTAGGTGGGAAAATTCAAATAAGTATAAAACATTAAATAAGATTAATGCTAGGCAGCATGTTCACTCTTACTCTCAAGCCAGCAGAAGCCACTCTGCACTAGTTAGTGCTTGTTTGGAGTCCATGAAATTTCAGCCTGAGGCAGTGGAACTGGGTGCAGTTCCTAGAGCAGCTGGTCGAAGGCTACATTCTCTCCTGCCAGATTGGTATTATACACTAGCACATACTGTGGAAGTTAATGATGCTCACAGTTGATCTGCAGCTTATTTCAGAGAGGTACAAGGATCCAGCCACAGACTAGGGGACCAATGATCCAAGATGGCTGCATTAAGGGAGGGAATGGGGTCTAGAAAGAAGTTGCCTCAAGTTCACTTAAGAGCAACCATTAGACCATACTCTTTCCATAGCCTCACTCATCTCCCCCTCCCCCTGAGGTGATAATGTTTGGGGTTTTTATGTAGTCAAAAAGGCAGATTAAAAAAAAAAGTTTCTCTTTTCCCATGCATTTCTGCACAGAAGATAATGATACAACTCACTGCACAAGTCAGCCACATGACCTTGGTTTTTGTGCATAAAAATTTTCTAGCCTCTATGATAAATGTCCTAAAATCCTGCAGAAATAAATCAATACCCAAAGTCTGGGAATGTCAAGTGAATCAGTACTTACACATTAGCACAAATACATTTTGGAGCCAGGAAATCCTGCCTCATGGCACACAAGTTAAAAATAAAGTTTAAACAGTTACTCCAATTTAGTAATGGAATCAGCTCTTTAAATTGTGATACAAAGTGTTCTTACTTTACCTCGTGTTCCACTTCCCTCTGTTGGTTCATAAGTGGATCAGGACTCAGCTCAACACTCGCAGCTTTCTCCTCTTGCTCTTTTTTCTTTATTTCCTCCAGCTGAGCCTGCATTTGGACCTTTAGGAACTCTGCCTCTAAGCATATTCGCTTTTCTTCAATTTGCTTAAGCAAAATTAGCTGCTGCTGTTTTTGTTGTTCTATTCGCTCTAGCTATCACAGAGAAATACTACAGTGATTCTCCAGAATTAAATGACAGAAACATAAAACAGTTAATTCTTATGTCCCAAATCACTTGCAGCGAAACCTACACTACAATAGGCAATCCCTATTGCAAGAGGCCTCTAAAAGTAGTCCTAAAGTTTACAGTATAATTTTACTTGATTTTGACTAGAGAACAGATTCTTACTGTCCGTGTGGTATTGCTTTAAGTAAAATTTCACTGTATAAAGCTATATTACATATTGCTTACAATAGTTGCTATTAAACTGATAAAATAAAAGTCGTCTATTCATTTCAGTTCTATTGACAATTTTCAGGGGTGGGATTGGGGGGGGACACAAAGTCCCTATCTTGCAACTGAACTCAGAATAAGTGTACTTTGCAATTCTATAGTGCTTTTCAAAGATTCTCAACACATTTTGCTAACATTGATGTAAGTCTCACAATACCTCTGAAGTAGCTAAAAGGTACACAGCATAAATTGCACTTTACAAACCTCTGAAGTGGCTTATTTTTTTGTCTAGAGATGTGTTATGCACCAGTCGCTGAAGTACTTGGGCACAATAGCAGCTCAAAACCCCTTGGGATAGGTAGTGAAGAATATAGAATCTATTCGAAATTGTTGCCAGGACACAGAGGTTAACACATACTCTTATACAACATTCCACAAGATCTTTAATGGTCACTGTCACATTCCGGGGTACACTCTAGACCAGTGGTCTCCAAACTTTTTGGATCGCACACCCCATCAGTAAAAATTTTTCGAGCACGCACCCCTGGCTGCGCCGGAGCAAAAAAACAAAAACAAAACACGCTCCTCCTGCTGCACACCCCCAAGGAGCCTCTTGTGCACCCCACTTTGGAGACCACTGCTCTAGACCAGTGATGGGGTGTGTCACCACGTGCACTGCAACCTTGGTCATCGCACAATGCTTTGCTGTTGTAGCTCACAAACAGCATGCAAATCACACCCTGAATATCTGTGTATAGCTACAACCCCAGTACAGCAACTCTGACCCCAGCAGCCTGTCAGCAAAACATCTGCCATGCTCTGGCTTCCAGCAACTTTGAGTATTACTTGCAGGGTGGCCCCAACAAGTTCCAGTTCTAAATTTTCCCCAAAACGTGTGTTCTGCACTGTCCAGCCCTCTCCTGGGCAATTCAGATATTAAAGGTCTGTTTTCTCTGTCAGGGGTCAATATGCCACCTTAACTCGAGTTACCCTAACAGTTCAATTTAAACACAAACACTGGATTAATTTTGATTAAAAAATAAAAAGTTTATTTAACTACAAAGAGATTTTAAATGAGTACAAGTATAGGGTATTAAAGTCAGCAATTGTTACAAGAGAACTAAAGATAAAACTCTTTATAGCAGCTAAACCTTAAATAAGACTTGGTTCAAGGTAAAATCCCACATGTTCTCAGATCAGGACTGCCCCCCTCCCCAAGGGCTGGTTCCTTTGTCATCTTAGGTTAGAGAGAGATAGGGAAAGAAAGAAAAATAACCTGGGGTGTTTTTGCCTCTCACCACTTTTATAGTCCAGTCACCCTTTGAAATGCATTTTCCTGAGGGTACCCCTAAATAAAGTTCCTTCCAGTTGTGGAGTCTCATGGTGAAAGAGGTTCCATGTTGTTGCTTGCTAAAATGCAGATTAATATGTTCCTGCTCCCCTTCCTTGCCAAAGAATGGCCACTTGACGATGACTCCTAGCTAGAGGAGTCAGTTTTTCCTTTGTCTTTGAGAAACCAGTTTACCTCCTCCTGCTATCTCATGGACCCTGTTTACTACTTATATGTAAACAGTGTGAACACAATGGCACTTTGCAGAACTAAGTGTATGTAACTTATCACTTATCAGCTTCTGTACCAGATGACTGGAAGATAGCAATGTGACACCAATTTTTTAAAAAGGCTCCAAAGGCAATCCTGGCAATTACAGGCAAACTGGTTTAAACTATAGTAAAGAATAAAATAATCAGACACACAGATGAACGCAATTTGTTGGGGGAAGAGTCAGTTTTTGTAAAGGGAAATCACACCTCACAAATCTCTCAGAATTCTTTGAGGGGGTCAATAAACATGTGGACAAGGATGATCCAGTAGATATATTGCACTTAGATTTTCAAAAGCCTTTGACAAGATCCCTTACTGAAGGCTCTTAAGCAAAGTAAGCAGCCATGAAATATGAGGGAAGGTCTTCTCATGGATCAGTAATTGATTAAAAGACAAGAAACAAAGGGTAGGAATAAATGGCCAGTTTCCTAGAATGGAGAGAGATAAATATTGGTGTCCCCCAGGGAGCTGTACCAGGACCGTGCTGTTCAACATCTTCATAAATGATCTGGAAAAGTGGTAAACAGTGAGGTGGCAAAGTTGGCCGATGATATAAAATTTCTCAGGATAGTTAAGTCCAAAGACGACTGCAAAGAGTTACAATGCGATCTCACAAAACTGGGTGATTGGGCAACAAAATGGCAAATTATAGTCAATGCTGGTAAAGGCAAAGTAATGTACACTGGAAAACATAATCCCAAGTATATATATAAAATGATAGGATTTAAATTAGCTATTACCACTCAAGAAAGTTGTCTGAAAACATCAGCTCAATCCGCAGCAGCAGTCAAAAAAGCTGACAATGTTAGGAATCATTAGGAAAGGGATAGATAAAATGACAGAAAATATCATAATCCCACTATATAAATCCATGGTACATCCATATCTTGAATACTGCATGCAGTTCTGGTTGTCCCATCTCACAAAAGATATATTAGAAATCGCAAAGGTACAAAAAAGGGGTAGCGAAAATGATTATGAGTATGAACAGCTTCCACATGAGAAGTAAGACTGGGACTGTTCAGCTTAGAAAAGAGAGAAGTAAGAGGGACGGAGGATATGATAGAGGTCTGTAAAATCATGAATGGTGTGGAGAATGGGAATAAGTGTTATTTACCCCTTCACATAACACAAGAAGCAGGAGTCATCCAATGAAATAGGCAGCAGGTTTAAAAACAAAGATAAGGAAGTACTTCACATAATGCACAGTCAACCTATAGAATTTGTTGCTAGGGGATATTGTGAAATCCGAAAGTGTAACTGGGTTAAAAAGAAGTAGGTAAATTCACGGAGGATAGGTCAATCAATGGTTGTTAGCCAAGATGGTCAAGGACAACCCTATGCCTTGGGTGTTCCTAAACCTCTGACTGCAAGAAGCTGGGACTGGATGACACCGGGATTGATCACTCGATAAATTACCCTGTTCAGTTCATTCCCTCTGAAGCACCTGGCACTGGCCACCCTTAGAAGACAAGATACTGGGCTAGATGGACCATTGATCTAACCCAATATGGCCTTTCTTAGATTTGAAATACACCAACTATAATGTAAAGCACATTTTAAAGGATCCTGAGAAGTTTTAAAAAACCCACATACCTGTTTTTGTCTCTCTACTTCCATTCTGATTTTGGCTGCTTGTTCTTGAGGGTGGATTAGGACTGAATTTCCAGCTATAACAGTATGCTCCAACGTTTCTGGAGATTCTGAAACATATGTATATATTTAACAGATAGCACAATCAGGAATATTACTTATGTCAGGGCTTGGGAACTACTAGCCAGAACATTAAAAACTTACCTATTACAGGTCAACCCAATGTTTCATCTGGGGGCAGGTTTCCCTAATTGAGTCTAAGGAAAACACCCTAATGAGAAGTTCCTCTTCCAACATCCCCACTGGCTCCTGAGAATTAGCACTTCCCACCACCTAGAGTTCTGTCCCTGGATCAAGCGCAGGGGCTCCATCTTTTATACTGGTTGTGGTTTAGTGGCAACTTCTAAGATGGATAGCTTCATCTTTCTCCTTTTCACTATTCTCCCAGATGCAGGGAGATGGGGAGGGGGCTTCTCTTTATACATACACCCTCCTGAAGCAGTATTTACACTTTCCAATCCACCATCTTCCTAGCTGCTAAAAAAGAGCAGCAAGCTTCTTTCTTTTTTTTCCCTCCCCCAAATTCATTCATAGCTTTCTGGAACAGACCAATGAAATCAGATCATGATTTGTTTTCACAGCTTCTGTCAAAATTCTCTAAGTCTTCAATGAGCTACTGAAAAAGCAACAGCAGCAGCAGGGACTCATATCTCTGCTGCCAGAAGGATAAAGTGTAGAGGCAGCACTGCTAGATAAAGACAGACTCTCCTCCGGCACCCTCAAGCAGAAGAGTTTTGAGCCTCTCCTTCTGCCTTCTCAGCATCCCCATCAACACCAGTCAGCTTCAAAGGAGCATTTAAATTGAGAATGGTCACCGTTACCACTAGCTCTCAATATTCATGAGAAAAGGTTTCCTGCTTCCCTCTAGCAAGTGTATTTCTCACACCTTATTGAGGAACTAAATCACACACACACACACACACACACACACACACACACACACACACACACACACACACGCCTTAAAGGCAAAGCCATCCCCAAAATTTCAGGGAATGCCTGTTCAATTTAACAATGACATTACAGCAAATGCATTCACAAGTATAAGTAAAATTCTAATATGTTAAAGTTACTTGATCATTTACTTATTAAATAATTACAGTACTGAACTGCCTAATAGTTAGACTCTAAAAACCAATCACATGCACTAATCCAATGACATCCCAGAAGCAAACAAATGGCTGCAAAGTAATAAATCAATCAGTAAACACGATCTATTTCATGTTAAAGATAATTCAAAAGAGCTACTGAATCCAGGAACAGATGTCCTTCCAATTTATTGGTACTTGATATCCAGTATGTCAAGAAATATGGGAGAAAGTGATTTCAGCCTCTCTTTAAATTCCTTTAAAAAAAAAAATCAGAAATGGACCAATGGTAAAATTTTCAAAAATGTAAGCCTCATTGAAAGTCAAAAGGACTTAAGCCAAGTCACATAGCCACTTTTTACCCCAGGTCTACAAAATGACCAGAACAAAGCACCAACTTTAGGCTGTTCACTAATGAGTTCTTATGGGTAAAGTAGTGTTCACAGCTCTGCCCAGCCAGGCCCTCTTTACTCTCAAAGCACATTTAATTTTAGTTGGGGAGCTACACAATACTTACCTATGGCCTCAGAGACTGAATCAGTATGTTGTTCATGACCAGGATCTGAATCACATAATCGTCTCTCTTCACTAGCAAGTGTTCCTGACTCAATTGTCTCAATTTCACTTTGAATCTCTGCTTCACATTTTGAAGTCCACTGGTCTTTTTGGCTCCGGATCTTATTTAGCAATTTTTTTAAGACCAGTTTTGATTGTGGTTGGGGAGCCACTCTCATTTCATGATCTAGGAGGAACACAGACCTCAAACTCTTAAAGGTATAAGAACAAGACAAAACAAGGTACACATTATGTACGTCACTGATTGTAAACAAAATCATCCTAAGATATTTACCTTGGCAAAATTTGTTTTCATTAGCTGCTTATACAAATGGATTAAGGAGATACAACTTTCTGACATGGAATAGAGACAGGTTCTCACAGATATCTTAAAGTACCTTTTCAAAATATTTATAATATGCATGTATTAGTCGACATGCGATTTCACTAGTTACATTTACAAATCCTACAACTGCTTAGGATAGTCCTCAGTACTACTCAACACAATTCATAGGACTGAGACAAAAAAAAACGAGAGTTCACTTTTTTCATTTGAAGTTTGTATTTATTACACTCCAATACATTGTTTCTAGATGTTAAAATTAATTAAAAAGATGAAGATACCATGATCTCTGGTATTTAATGTACTTCCTATTTTTTTTTTTTTAACTCACTACTACATTTTCCAAAATTCTTGTACAAAAAAAAAAAAATCTCTTTTCACTCTGGTACATCCAAATAGCTTAAATAACGAAGTATATCCAATACAAGAGTTAAACTTGAAAGTTTCTTACTCTCTGGTTCACTAGGGTGCTGGGCTTCCTTTTCTGTCACCTCCTCCATTTTTGGTTGAGTCTCACATGCAAGATCTGGCTCCAGGGAGATATCCAAGTCTTCATCTTGAGACCGATCAGAGGGAATTGGCAAAGGCTGTGGCTCTAGGTGCAAAATCATGTCTCCTTTCATTTCTAAATAAAGAAATGAAACCATGTGAAAGTCATATATAGTCTATCTGTAATCTGAATAAAACCACTTTAAATTGCAGGATTAAGACCACCACACAAGAAGCTCCTCAAGAGTTCCAAAATTCAGAAGTCAATCTTACTCCAAAACTTTGTTTCAAAGAAACTAAGAAAGTTGTTTGAGTCTTTCAACACATCTAATTTACATCATCTACTACCAAGATTTTTTTTTTTTAATACTGTATGTGACAGTGGCTCACTGAATCTTTCAAAATAGCTTACTCCTATCTCCACTGTACATATCTTCAAAGGCAAACTCCAGTTCCCTCTGCCAGTCTTCTTTAATTTCCATGCGTCTGTATGCAGGTTCGAACAGCTGTGGCGGCATCTGTGCCACAATCTGTCTTCTGCGCGCCAGGTCCATATTCTGCATCTGTTCAAGTTCTTTCATTAACCTTTCCCGGTCCTTCAAGTAGCAAAGTAATCAATTAACAGTTTAGCAGTCACATCCGACAGTCTGATACTAGCTACCACAAAATTTGTTTAATGCTTGCTTCATACTGGAATACAAAATTCCTGAGCTTAAATACACACACACACCCCTCTTAAAATATATCAATCTAGAATATCCTACACTCATTTATTGGGATGAAGAATCATAATAGCACTGAAGGATCTGCTACAATGTTAAAGATCAGAAAATATACCCGTAGGCCAACTTTCCTAAATATAGGAGAACTCCAAGTTTTCTATTTTATAGAACAAAACATTCGGTCCTTGTTAAATTGCTGACCTGCAAAGGATTTTTTTTTAAAGATTGGGCTAGTATTCTCCTTGCATTGTCATGATGTATAAAAGCTCTGAAAGTCTGTTTTAAATATTTTTCCTTCTATTTTATACCTTAGAAATATCAGCAGTCAATTTTGGTCTTCCCTTGTTTTGCTGGATGACTGGTTGGAGATTATATACACATCATTAGCTCGTAAACTGTACCTGACAGATTGGGGATCTGAATATTTAAGGAAGACTTCTTTTCTCCAAAATGTTAGTCAAGTTAAACAAGTGTTAAAACAAACACCAGGGAGTTACAACAATGACTAAAATCCATTCTTTTCTTAAAAGCTCAACTTTCACTCATCTCTTGTGATATAATTTTTCTAATTCTCTAGTTGCCATCAAGACCTTTGTGCTAAACAGAAGCAGAATTGCTTACTTAAAATAAAAAAGGAAGAAAAAGGTTTTAAAAAACATTTCAGCCTTCTTAAATTATAAAGAAACAAAAGAGGCAGAAGTCCCATTTTTCTCATCTCCAACAGAAGTCAATAAGAGATGCAGTTACATAGAACCTAAGGAAAAAAAATATCACACCTTATATGACTCAAGTTGGGTAGCCAATCACCATGGCTCCAAAAATTAGAGGACACTTCTGCGATTGTTGGGCTGAATCTGTCTCTGTGCCTTCACTTGTCATTTGTAAAATGAAGATAATCTCTCTTCCCTTAAGGGGTTGTTACAAAAATAACTTCTTTAATCTTTCTGAAGTACTCAGATTCTGTGGTGCTTTTCACCAAAGTACAGCCATAAGGCAATTAACAATTCTGTATTCACTACAAGGTGTAGATGGTATACAATAAATAAGGCCTGAGTCCATTTACTGAAAGATGATAATAAAATATCAAACTTCTGCGTCATCCCTATACTTAACAAGGCGCAGGGGTTCTGTGGAAAAAAAAGTAGTATGTGATCTAGGCATCCTAGGTATAACTTAATTGTATCACAAACATAACCCACCACTAGTAAGTAAGTTAATTTCAGAAATTAAATCCTTCTCCCCATACAATAGTTTGTCATCTTTAAAGTTCCCCCCATATTCAAACAACTTGGGGGGGTGGGGGGGGAGATGAGCTCCACAATGTACTCAAAAGATGAGGGTATTTTGTATCAAGGGAGATGTGAATTCCAAAGTGGTAGGACGATCACTGGAAACACCCAGCCAACAGCGCTTTTTCATTTGTATCAACCGACTCAAGACAAGCAGAGATGCTTGGGGCTGAACTATAGCAGTATGAGACATGGGCTAGACTGAGAACAAACTCATTTAATTTGTCACTAAAGTTAATTTAAACCTAAGCTTTTGGAGGTAAAGTTTGTGCATTCCTACTAAAAGGTAGCTGCTGCTTCAGATTGCCCCACCTGTGAAGTGAGGATAATTACCTTCCTCCCAACTAAAATTTTGTGGATTAAGTCTGATCAGTCTTGCTGCCTCTAAAGAACGCTGGGTTAAAATGTACATAGTTTGCAATCACCTTTACTATGCAGAATTAAAAATCACTCTGCCATCTCTTATAAAATTAGGAAAGGAAGGGCGCAGAGTAGCTGAATTCAGAATATGTTTTAACTTTAGAACAGCCTAGTTATTCACACTCACTTCTGGGTATTGCTGAGTGCTGTGTCATCATTATGGAATAACAGTTAAATATCTAAATGGGGATGAGAGGGACTATCAGAATTAGAGTTCAACTTCCAAAGTCAGGAATTTCACTATTACTTAATATAAAGCATAGTTCATTTTTAAATGTTTAAAAGAACTGTATTTTGCCTAAAATTAAATGTTTCAATATTCAGTTTTTAATGTTCATTTAGCATTGAAGCAAGAATTAAAGTAGGAAGAAAGTATGATTATAGTGTATTAAATAAGGCTTTTGTAGATGTCAAGTAAAAATGTGAAACATGCCTAAGTAATTATAAACCCTATGTCCCATTGATTTTCACTCAGGCACTTTTGAAAACTTTACCCTTCATTAAAACTTAATTCGGAGTTGAAGAAAATCAGTATAATAGTTTTATGAACATTTTTGAAGGTCACTAAAGGAACCACTACAGTTCTTAGAACACTGCGAGAGATGGGGGTTCTGAAATGCTTAAGCTTTGAATCTGCCTAAATTGTACCTGCTGTTTTACCACTTTATTGATTTAGACCACTTTAAGTAGTTTATTCACACTGCAGGACTTCAGTTAAAAACCCTTACATTAAAGGGGCAGCAGTGTTCAAGATCAAGCCAAATAGTTCAGAAGCAAAGAACTTAGAAGCATACCAGCAGAGCTCGCAAGCTTTGCAAAATTAATAGCTCAAATTCACACCACTTTTTTTTTTAAATCAGTCTCAGGCATTATTTACTATGTATATGTTTGTATGTGCGCAATTTTGGTAAAAAAATAAGTCAATTTAAAAACCAAAATGTACATTCCCACTTCTAATGCACTTATTTCAACATTCCTTTTCCAGTGTTTGCAATTCAGAACCCATACCTAACCAAAAACCTTTTTATTTATTGTTTTCAAGTATTTTGAAAATTTGCTATATCATGTTTTGTAAAATTTGGGCATTAGCCACAAAACCTGAACTATCTGCAGCATTCCTTTAATTTTCAAATCCCTTTCATTTTAATGACAGAGAATTGCTTCTTACCTTCTGAACTTTCTGATTGCAGGGCTGAGCAAAATGAGAACAGTTTTCTTTTAAGGATATGCATTTTGAAAACATCCATTATTCCAAGGTCTTTCCTGAAGTCAGCATGTTCTAATTCAAACCAATTAATTTAGAATCCAATTTACTATTGTTTTTTAAATTGCTGGTCATTTTGACATTTATGAAGAATTACAGTGTGAGCTGAGGGGTGAAAACATTTTCTACTTTGCTTACTTGTGCCAAATGGACCATCTTCAAGGCATGACTTCCTCTCAGATGTGCTTTTTCAAGCTGTTCTCTCCTATCTCTCTCTCCCTCTTTTTGTAGTTCGTCCAACCGCTTTGCTTCCTCTTCAGCTACTAACCGAGCATCTGGCTGGTAGTTAATTAGTAACAGTTCAAATATCACAAAGAATTTGTGCAGACTCAAAATACAGTTGACAATAAATGAGTAATTCTGTATTCAATTATTCAGCCAAACTACTTTAAAAAGTAGTTATGAGTGGCTATACACAACTTGTAATGAATACAGCTCTCAACTGAACATGTACATAGTGACATCTATAATCCTCTCATTTTGAGATGTCAAATTGTTCTAGTTTCAAGTGCTACTGTGGAAGATCCCTTATACGTTTATAATAGCTTGGCTACACCAAAAAACACCCAGGATTTTTCATTCAATACAAGGTATAATGCTGAATACAGACAGTGCTATACATTTGATTTCATACCAGGCTGCAGATTTTTTAAAACAACAGAAAAAACAGAAGTCTTCCCAGATTCATATGGAAAATAAACACATTCTGAGAGTTTTGCAAAGTAAGAGCCTTTTGAAATCTGGCCACTGAGAGTTGAAAAAAGTTAATGTGAAAACTCATGGCCTGTAAACAAGGAGAAAACATTTTCCAAGTTTCACGTATGAAACACTCTGATGCATCTGCTCTTAGCCCTAGTCTACACTGGGGAAGGGGGGGGGGGGAAAGAAATCGATCTAAGTTACGCAACTTCAGATACATGAATAATGTAGCTGAAGTCGACGTACTTAGAACGACTTACTGTGGAGTCTTCACCGCAGTGAGTCGACTGCTGCTGCTCCCCCGTCAACTCTGCCCGAGCCTCTTGTGGCAGGGGAGTACAGGAGTTGATGGGAGAGCGCTCGGGGGTTGATTTATCGCATCTAGACTAAATCGAGCCATGCTGGATCGATGGCTGCCCACCGATCCGGCAGGTAGTGTAGACATATCCTCAGTCTTTAGGCCACGATCCTTCAAACATTTAAGAATCCTAGGTAATTTCAGGCAAACATGAACATAATGGGACTACTCAAGTAAGTATTTGCAGGACTGGGGCCCGAATACATACGCACAATTTACACTGTTACAAGTCTTCACCATTTGAAATCCAAATTAGCTGACATGTTTTCATTTTAATTATGTGATACCAACTCCTAGATTTTAAACAAGTACTGTGAAATGAATATTTGTTGCAGCAGATTTAAAATCCATAGATACAGTACAATAGTACTGAAATAAGGGAGCATATGCCATAGGCATATTTGATATCAGTCACCTGCTGTGTGTCCATTTCTCTATCCACATAAGGTTCAGAAAGATGGTGATGAGTAACAGAAAAATTGTCAGCATTATAGACCTTCACCGTAGGCAGTCTTTTCACTTCAAAGTTCTAAAAAGCAGAAAGTACAAATAATCTGTTACTTTACCAGCGGCACTGTTTTCCATTATGAGCTAAATGGAACATAAATAAATGATTTGCACGGATTTTCAAACTTTACATATATATTAACTAACAAACCACATTCAATATGAGGCATATCAAGAGGGTTTAATGACTGACAGGGTCTAACAGCCCAAGGCAAACTCCTCCCTGCCAACTGTCATTAATCTTAAGGATATGGTTCCAATTTTCAGCAGTATTACCTTAATTTAAAAGTGCTTTGTTTTTAACGTACTAATACAGATCCCAATTATAGCAGCTGTCACAATGTAGGACAACCATAATTACACAATATACTTTCAAATAAAGCAAAAATAAAATCTCTCAAATACACTCAACTGCAGACTACGTTTACAAATGCCTAAATGTCTTATGATAGTGTCAGAATTACTAGAAGTTCTGTTCAAGAAAAGACATTCCTTATATTAGCAAATATCTATGCTGTTCCTACAAAATGTGTGCAATTGGGAGGAGGGAAGGGAAACAGATGAGTCAGCAATACTTAATTGAAACAAATCTTCAAACTTCGTTTCTGAATTTCCCTGGGCTTTTTAAAATGAGTGCCAAAAGGTTTAAATTGGGTTGGTGTATAACATCTGCAGGAGGGGGTCTCAGCCCACCAAAGCAAGGTTTCTCTCCTGCAGATGTTAGGGGCCCACAGATGGTGTGTGAGAGGATGGGAGTTATACCCGAGTAGGGTATGATGCAAACAAATGCAGCAGAGGCGATGGTTGGCCTTTATCGCCATTAAAAACTTCAACATATTCTCCCCATGTCTCATGCATATATACCCTGTACCTCTACTCCTGCGGTCCTCTGTACTCCCCATCCACACTCATGCCCCACCAGTGTTCTATCTCCTTCATGTGCATCTACCTCATGTCTCCTTCAGAGGCCCCCATTCCAAGACTCCATGCCACCCCTTCATATGCCTTCCCCAGTCCTCTACTCCCATCTCTACACCTTTTTATATTTTCCAATGCCTCTGGCACAGCCCAGCACTTTGAACATCAAGGTGGCCAATATATATTCCACTATAAGTGTTGGCCCTTTAAACCCTATCTTTTTAAACCCCCATCTCCCTTCTATTGGTTTCCCTTCAGCTCTCCCACCCTCCAAGATGCCCCCCCGCCCCGCCAAAAAAGACTTCTCACAAAGGCCAACAAAATAAATGTGGAATTTCAAGGCCAAACCACTTCTGATAGATCATGAATAATAGAGGGTTAAAACAAATCAGAAAATAGAGCTAAGTTTTCAAAATACCAATAACTTCAAAGCTGTCTGCTTTTTACTAGGTTTCCCAGAAAAACTTCTACCCCAGGGTAAGATGTAGCATGCAGAATGTCAAGGTTTTTTTGTTTTTGTATTAAGGCGTGGGGAGAAGATTGGCTATAATGGGGAGCCAGTTTCAACCTTCCCAATAGAATGAGACTACCACTACTCTATAAGTATTGAAAACACATGCTTTCTAGTCTAGAAATATTGGTGTTGCATCAAGATAGCCCCACTGACAATTTAACTATTTTAAATGTCAAACAATATAAAAATAAGAGCTATCAGAATTATCTGGGACAATAAATGGAAGTAATTATAACAGACCCACATAAACTAAAATATTTATAGATACCAATTATAGCTTTGAAAATAGACACTTCCCATAACTAAAGTTAATTAGATAGATTACCTATTGCTAGCCCTATTCCCTACAACTTTAGGAATATGAGATATAGTACTTTTGAAATATTTGAAAATTTAACATTAACAGATTACATTTTAATCAAATCTCCAGTATTTTATGCAAGAGTTGCAAATAATATTTGTTGCAAAGATGAGAAAGTTATGTCACAAGGCTGTAATTTTCCAATTAATGCTACCAAAAAAATCTCTTTAGGATGCAAAAACAATTAGTGGCCTATTTCTCCATTTGTGATCAAGGTTATTACTGCTCCTGGAGTTAAGAATCTGTCAGAGTTTCTATTAGGGGTTTACAATCCAGCCTGAAAAAAATTCACTGTACTCCAGCACACTGATCTTAGAGGCAGCAATTTTTTCTGCACTTTAACAAAACAAAACACAGTTTAAGCTATTTTTAAGAGTGCTGAAATCAAGAAGAGTTTACCAATTTAAAACAATTTGTTGTGCTTCTTTAAGAACCATAACAATTTTTCAAAGGAAACATTTTATGGGTCCCAGCAGTTCCCCCCCACCCCCCTCAGTTACTAAGATTTCAATCCAGCACAGCATTTGCTCAATTTAAATTATGTGAGTATTCCCACTGAAGTCAATTGGGCTGTGTGCTCACAGTCAAGCATGTGCATAACTGCTTTGTTGGATCAAGGCCCAAATTATTCACATCTAAAAGCCACTGCCATGAGAGTAATTTTTTAGGCTTTCATACACTTTACGATAATATACTGTGATCCTTCAATATTAGAAGTGGATATACTGTCAACAGGTATATTAAGTGAGCTAACAGTAGGCACAGTTTTGAAAGACTTCTTTCTCTAATATTAAAGTATGTCATGTTATTTTTCAACCTTAGGCTCCAATTCTACAATAGATGGACCATTGTGGTGCACAAAAGCCCCACAAAAGCAGACAATGGAACTCCAAGTGGATGTACATGTCTGTGCATGCAAAATTACTGCAGGATCAGGATCTTAGTTTTCATTCACTTTTCTAGACCACTGGTTTTAACAAAATGAATTTGTGATGTGTCATTACCTATTATTTATGAAAATATGCATATGATATGAATATGACATAACTGAGATGTACTTTATGCAGGATGGCTCATGTGAGATATGATTGGAAAGGAAGAGGGTCAAGTTGGGGAAACAAAGGATTCCTGTCTTATGTAAATCCTATTTAAGGGTGGGAAGGAAGGCAAATGGGATGACTCCTCTCCATGGCCTGTCTGCTCAAGATGAAAGACTGCAAAAGCCACCTGAAGGGAAGGCAAGGGAGGAGTTCAGACTGAGACAGGGGTCCAGTCTGAAAAGAAATATAACGAACTCTGAACCACAGAAACTTTGCAACCTGCCTAAAACAACATTCAGGGTAAGAAATTACATTGTGTAACCTGTTTAAGTATATTGAGCTTAGCTTACGTACTTTGGTTTATTTGCTCAGTAATCTGCTTTGTTCTGTCTGTTATCCCATATATTCTCTTGAAATTCACCTTTTGTAGTTAATAAACTTATTGCTTGTTTATAATATAACCCAGTTTATGTAATTTCTAACAGGGGGAGGGCGGGAAGAGGAGGCAAGAAGTTGTGCATAGCTCCCTCCACACTGAGGCAGGGGGCGAATTTCATAAAACCTTTGGGTTTGTACCTCTTAAAAGGAGTGGGCATCAGAGGGCTGGAGCAAGCCCCTAAGGCTGAATCTTTCCAGAGTGGATCTCTCTCTCTCTGTGCAGCTGGGTGTAACCCTGCCTGTGTGCTTGGCTGGAAGAGGCTTGTGAGCATAACCCAGCAAGGCCAGGTAAAGGGAACCCAGGCTGGCATAATAGACAGGCTCAGTGATGTCTCAACACATCAGGTGACACCCCAAAGGGCCCAAACCGTCACAAAATTGTTCTAGCATATATTCTGTACTCCATATTCCACAAGCATAACAAAGAAAATGCAAAAACAGCTCAAGAAGAAAAGCTAACAGAATCTTAAAGCTCTCAGTTACACATGCAAACCAAAGTATATTATTAAATCATTAAAACAGGGGATTGGGGCTGTATATGTATTTTGGGGGAAGAGCATTTAAACGTTCGTTTATTACCATTGAAGCAATTAAAGACTGAAAGAGCTCATTAATCAAGAAAAATCATATTAGTCTCACAAAACAAAAAAACCCACCACCACAAACCAAATTAAATATAAAAAACCTAATGGACAAGGAATATGTTTGTGCATAAAAATTAATTCTTTAATTTGCCCTTGAATAGTCTTTGGTGAACTACTGCAACTTACAACATGCAAATAGTGAATTCAGATGTTATGCTTCCAGAAGACAGAATAAAGCCACAGTAATGCTTATATTTTACCCTGAAATTATCACCATCCCCACATATTGGATACTCACCTCAAAAGGATGGGGTGGAGGTGGTGGCAGGCTTGCAATTTTGGCAGCTCTCTCTTTTTCCACATACATTGCATGCTTACGTGCATTTGTTCGCCTTAGGCAAGAACAAAGAATGGTTGGGGAAAAGTGTTCAAACAGGAATACTAGCACTGTAAAAATCAAAGATAAACCTAAAAATTTATTTTAATTAATCTTTGTATGTACCCTTATAATAACGCTCAAGGGGTGAGTGAACAGAAGTAATTTGATCAGTGAACAGGCAACTGAAAATGAAAGGCAACACTGAAGAAGCAATATCTTGAAGTAATGCTTCTGAACAAAATCAACCCCTCTTTTCAAATAAGCTTCCTGAATATCACTGAGCTGCACGGGTCACTTTGGTCAGCCCACTTTAGTTTTTCAAATGTACACAAACTTACCTATAGTGCCTCATCTCTTCTCTAGTAATACTATCTTCTAACACGTTTATTTTTTTTCACACCTGTTCAAATTTGAACTCATCTGCTGAGAACACTAAGAAGCATGACAGCCAGTGAAAAATATGATGGTGGATTTTATGAAGTGGATATCTGTCCCTCAGGAACTGAACCGAGATCAATTCATTTCATATGTCATTGAACAGCTGTCAACTACCCAAGTGGGCTGAAACCAGTGATGAGGGTGAAAAGCCCTTCATCGCACTGAGAGCTCCCTGAGCCATCTAGTTCATTTGACCATTTTATCCCCTTGTTTCTCAAACTAGAATTCTTACCAAACTCCATAACTTCATCAAGCACTACATGGAATTCCTAAACTAAAAATGTACCAAACAAGAAGTCTCAAGGTTCCTGCATTTCACTCTTTATACACTATAATCTGCATTTTAAAGACATAAATAAATATACCATGTTTGCTCTTTCAACAATTTTTCTTTTTGATTTTTCTGTTCTTTCAGGGCTTCCTTATGTCTCTTCTCTGCTCTTTGTTTCCTTTCCTCTGCTTCCTTTGCCAGAGCCACCAAATCAGGTTCCTTTACAATGAAATGTAATTAATGTTATAATAAACACTTCACCCAGATTCTAATTACTTATAATACTATCAACATGACAGTTCAAGTATTACTGCTAACAAATATCAACTCATATGATAGAAATGCATCACTGTGTTTAATCCTATGCTACAAGAATCTAAATATTCTGAATAATCACTTTCCCTTACTCTATTGCCTTCCTTATTCGCTCTTTGTATAGTACTGTACCAATAGTAACAAATTTGCCGTGCCCTCCCTCTTTCCCCTCCCCATCATTCATTAGAACAGTTTGAAAAGTTTAGCTTCCCTCTGCATCTACTCACTGACTGCTAACTTCATCTATTGGAAGAAGAAATTTTCAAAATACCAATTTCATATCAAAGTGATACTAGCATTTCAAAGAACCATTACCACAATTTATCAACAATGGAATATTTTAGCAAAAGCTCCTTACAACACCACATACTTTTTGTACCTCCTTTTCCACTGTTGCCAATTCCTAGGATACATCAACAGTAACTCTATCCTTTGTAATTAATTGCCTCCTCTTATTATGCACTATATGAAATTCTACAGCACATTCCATCCTAGGATATTAAAGCTGTTCAGTAATAATTAAGTCTCAACACTAGGTGAAGTAGCATAATCCTTTTTTATAGATGGAGAAACTGAGGCAGGGGTTAAGTGACTTACCAAATGTCATGCAGGAAATCTGTAGCAGAGCTAGGTCTCCTGACTTCTAGGGTAGGTCTACACAGCAACTAGACATTTGCAGCTGGCCTGTGCTCACTGGGCTCGGGCTGTTTGAGCACACAAGTCTACATAGCAATTGAACAGCCCAAGCCCTGCAATCCTGAGTTGGCTGGCACAGGCTAGCCACAGGTGTCTAGTTGCTGTTTAGACATACAATTAATGCATGGAGCTAGGGGCATGACAATCCTTCCTCTCTACAAACCTGACCCGAAGTCCGCAGAAGTCATTGGAGAGATTTTCCTTTATTTCAATGAGCTCTCAATCTGGTCCAGTGTAAGTCAGAGGAAAAACAATCGAGTTTTTGTGCGAACAGTTTACAATCACTGATGGGACTGTGACAGCACAGAAAGCCCAGATAAAGCCCTTTGCAGCCCATAACAGGAGCCATGTGATGGGCTCTGCACAGGATTTTTGTAAAGATGTTCACGTACATTCACATGTATGTTTCAGAAAAGATGTGATAGTGTATAACTATATAACAGTTTTTTTTGGTATGTGTCTGGGATAACTATTTACACAAGAAGCAAACAAGTCATCCCAAACACATACCAATAAAACTTTTATACTCTCATACACCATCATGTATTTTGTTTATGCTGAGTTTTAAACATGTTTCTTCTCAAGTTTGCCTAAAAGATTACATTTCTGAATCAGACCAGTTGTCCATCCTGTCTGACCGTGACCTGTACCAGATTCTTTAGAGGAAGTCACGAGAAATCCTGTTTCTTCCTAAAACGTATCAATTAGAGGCTGTTTTGCGCTCTGAGGCCTGAAGATTTTTATCCTTTATTTACATTGCTTTATAAACACCAATAAAAAACTTTTATAGTACCACACACCATGCCTTATCTCATGGATACATGTTTGTGTATAAAGGTGTATGTCAGTATTTTTGCAAAGTTTTCAAAATTGGCTTTTTTTTTTAAACATATCACTTCAGGCATTAGAAGTGCAAGGTCAGAAGCGTCACAGAAAATTGTAAGCCATAATCTTTATAATTTTAGTTCAGTAAATATTTTCTGTTACCCTCGACTATGAGACAATATCAAGTGACTTGTTTACTTACATTTTCCTTTGCCTGTCTGTGTCCATCTCCCACAGCTCTTAAACTTGATAGATAAAGTTTTTCCAAGGCTTTAATCTTCTGATTTTGTGCTTTCCACCACTCTGCTTTCAGTTCCTCTGCCAACTGATGTAGCTGCTCATCTCTCCTCTGCTTCACTTCTTGTCTTATCTGCACGGCAATGTATCTCTCCTGCTCTCTAACCTGAGCAAGTAAATTACATTTTATTAGTGACTTACCAGAGTTTATTTTTGTAGCAGACCCTTAACCAACTTACTGGTGACTCTTTCAGTCTCATCCACCTTACTGACTACTCAGATCAACCTAATTGGGTTCTGAGCATACCTACGTTGCCATTTTCTCTCTTTTCCAAACTAAAAAGCTTAAATAAATGTGTAAGACTATTCATAATGAGCTACAGCTCATCAACCATTAACAGCCATAATTCAATGATGCATTTAATATCCTTCTCTTCATACAAGAAGAAAGTCACCTGTCAACAGAGAGAGTTAAGAAGAGGCTAGCAAACAAGTCTCACATATTGTTACAACATACTCCTGCCAAATCAGTGAGTACTGCTGAATTAAAGATTTACTAGTCGTAGAAAGTCTCTGCCCAAAAGACCACACAATCTAAACAGAGAATGTACAAGGAAGTAGGAAACACAGCTTTTTTTTCCAGAAAGTTACGAGGGTGGAAAGGCAATTAGAAGCCAGGCTGTGAAGAACTTTAAAGGCAAGGTGCTTACATTTCCTCTGTACCAGGAGGAGCCAATAATGGCATTAAAAGATGGGCCAGACACAGCAGTAGCTAAAGTAGACAATTTAATGGCAGCATTTTGGATAGACTGAAGGAAAACAAAATGAGTATCCAGAAAACCAACAAGAGGAAGGTTGCAGTAGATGAGGGATGAAATAAGAGTAAGAGCGTAGTAGATACGGAGAGAAAGAGAAAGATTTTAAATATGTTACCTAGGAAAAAATTATAGGACTTATCAGCCACATGGATGCAAAGAGACAGGAGAAGAGTTCAATTTTATATTAAGGCACCAAGCTGTGGTACATGGAGAATCACAGAATTTCCCCAAAGGTGACCAAGAAGAAAAAGGAAGTTTAAGCGGAAAGTGGATAAGTTCAGTTTTAATCATGTTTAGTTTGATTTGGCAATGCATAATCTAGAAGGAATGCCTAAAAGGCAATCAAGAAATGCGAATCTGTATGGAAGTGATACCTCAAGAGTAGAAAAATATATCCGAGTGGTCAAAGTCAATATAGATTGATGGTAGTTGAAGAGAGACATTCAGATGTGATTGTTCAGGAGTAAGGTGTAGAGGAAGAAAAGGAGCAAGGACAGAGCTTCATGGGGCCTGGGCAAAGAGCATTGAAGAGAGAAGCCAGCACAAAAGGTACAATTAATTGACAATGAAAGAGTTCACAAACTTACTCTGCAAAACACAACACAGTATGTTATCAAACTGAAAATTTTGCTGTGTGACAGTATCGTTTAAAAAAGTATCAGAGGGGTAGCCGTGTTAGTCTGGATCTGTAAAAAGCGACAAAGAGTCCCGTGGCACCTTGTAGACTAACAGAAGTATTGGAGCATAAGCTTATGCTCCAATACTTCTGTAGTATTGGAGCATAAGCTTATGCTCCAATACTTCTGTTAGTCTACAAGGTGCCACG